TTTTTTCTTTTTTTTTCTCTTCATAATTCTATTCTGGTTTTTATCTTTGAGTTACGTACACAATCACAAGCACAGACACGTTCGCAAAAAGGTGAAAAGTATCTTTTTTTTTCCTTTTTTTTCTATCCTTCTTTTGATAACAACTACGTTTTCGATATTTTTTCTTTCGTTTTTAAGAGTTCTTTTTTTGAAATAGATCACTGAACATTCTGATTAATTTCTCTCCCATTTAAAAAGTTTGAGAGAAATACATATAATAACATAGCAAGGGATATAGAATATATAGGGATATATAATAGAACCCAGTTATTTCACCGCCACAATAATTGATATAATAATTACATATCAATTACCTACATATAAACAACACACAAAAAAAGAAAGCTTGAGATATTTGGACGTAAAAAGGAACTTTCATGACAGGGTGTTTAAAAAAAAAAGTTAATTAAAGAGCCTGACCTCTTAACAGATTGCCTGAGAGATAAACTTAAAAGAGATTGATAGTTTAACCCAGAAGATAAACCGCCTCTGCTTACCGGTAACTTGGCAATAAAACGTAGCATTAGTTCGATTACCTTGGTTTAAAAACATATAAAAAATATATGACCTTTAGTATTAGTTCAATTAAACCACACCCTTAAAATAAACCAACACCTTAAAACAAACTACACCCTCAAACCAAACCAAACCCTTAAAAGTTAAACCAAACCCTCAAAACATAAACCACACCCTCAAAACAAACCAAATCCCTTAAAAAACTACACTACACCCTTAAAAAATAAACCATTCTCCATTATCCAACCCTCCAACATACACCCCCCAACATACCTCATAGCTGCGCCCCGACATCCCCCAACATACACCCCCACATACCTCATAGCTGCGCCCCGGCATCCCCCCAACATAGAGCAGGGTGTCCATGGGAATCTCCAACGTCGATCGTCTCAGGATTTGTCGACTCGTCCACCTGCAGTCGACGTACACCTGGATGGTGCTGTCTTCGAGGACACTGTAGGGAGAAGGGGATGGTGAGAGTATGGTGAGAGGAGGGGGGGAGTATGGTGAGAATGGTGAGGGGGGAGGTTGAGTATGGTGAGGGGAGGGGGTATGGTGAGGGGAGGGGGGGGTATGGTGATTATGGTGAGGGGAGGGTGAGTATGGTGAGGGGGGGGTGAGTATGGTTAGGGGAGAGGGAGGGGGGGTATGGTGAGGGTATGGTGATTATGGTGAGGGGGGGTGAGTATGGTGAGGGTATGGTTAGGGGAGGGAGGGGTGAGTATGGTGAGGGGGTGAGTATGGTGAAGGTATAGTGAGAATGACGAGGGTATGGTGAGGGTATGGTAAGTATGGTGAGGATATACTGAGAGTATGGAGAGGTTATAGTGAGGCTTGTGCATGTTAATTTTTAAAGATTATTTTTTATTTGTGTATTTCTTTTTTTATTCGTTGTTATTTTTTTTTCTAGAACTAAGTGTCGTGTAAAGTGTTTTTAGTATAAATAAAGGATAATCATAAAGTATATAAACCACACACACATACATATATACGTGTGTGTGTATTTACGTATATTCCTGTATTTTTATATAATTATAGTTTGATAAATCTCCAAAAGAAATAAATGTCTGTCAAAAATGATAAACATGCAACCCTCACTCATCCCAGCACAAACCGACACACACACAAAAAAAAACAGTACACACGCACTTAAACAAACATATACACACGTGCTCACACTCTCACAGTAACAACCATGCACCTAAAGAAAAGCGGACAAATAAACACATAAACACACATACAAACAAACTTACAAACCCGCACAATTAAGCGAGGATTTAACGAACTATTTCAATGACTCTTAGCTAAGCAATACAGCCGTACACGGAATGCGGTTATTGGATATGATAAAAAAAATAACAATAAAACATAAATTTCCCGGCATACACACACACACACACGCATGCACGCACACACACATACATACACACACACACACACACACACACACACACACACACACACACACACACACATATATATATATATATATATATATATATATATATATATATATATACATATATATATACATATATATATATATATATATATATATATATATATATATATACACACACACACACACACACACACACACACACACACACATATATATATATATATATATATATATATATATATATATATATATATATATATATATATATACACACACACACACACACACACACACACACACACACACACACACACATATATATATATATATATATATATATATATATATATATATATATATATATATATATGTATATATATATGTATTTTGGGGGCTCTCTATTTAGTCTGTATAAGCCGCTTTATTTTTTTTCGCATCGTCGAGTTTCGAAACGAAAATCTTGATTCATGGGATTCGAATCTAAAACGAACGCAAACTCGAACGCCCTTCAGACTGTTTTTTTTTTTTTTTTTTTTTTTTTTG